CCCCCCCCCTACCTACCAACCAATAGGCTACGAGCCTCACCTTCATCTAGTTAAAACCCCTCCTAAATATTGTAGCTAGAAACAACCTACTTAGATACTTGTACGCCTAAGAACCCTACACGTCTTATATAGCCCTTCGGGCTGAAAAAGGACGTTAAACTAGAATAATAATAATAATAATAATAATATAACTAATTAACAGCTTAGCTTAAAGGTGAGAGTTACGCTAAGAAGAATTGCGCCGAAGGGCCGAGATTAGCGTTAGATAGAACTTTTGAAAGGCACCTCCGTACTATTACCTCAGAGCCTGACTCATGTGCCGCGTCTGTACGGGTGTATGGTTGCAGCAATTTAATTAGCGATCTTCCCACAAAACACTGGGAGGTTTCGTTGTCGTAACAACCACACCGGCTTCTTGTAGTTTTCAAAATTGACAGATACATTTAATCAAGGCCCTCATATCACTCCAACCCGCGAGAAAGTCATCGTTAACAGTGCGTATGGCAGTCAACACTAAAGAGAGCTAGGTATGCGCTCCCTTGACTTTTGCAGCAGCAAACGGCCAACTTGAGATAGTGCAATTGCTGCAACGTCCAGGGTGGACGCTTCAGCAACGCACTACAGGCAGCTTTAAAGAGAGACGAAAAGCAGTCAGCAAAGACGATGTTCAACGCAGGTACTTGCTTTCCAACATCATGATTATATAGGTATACGTCATGAGATAGCGCCAAAAGAGATGTGCTCAACAGCTAGCAAGTCTTGACCAGGATACGTCGATTTTTTAGAGACTGAAGCAACAAACGCCACTCATGCCGTACAACGCTGCTACACGTCATACAAGGGCTCGTATGCTTGGGGATAATCAGTATGTACCCTCAATCTTGGCAGTCTGTACTTAGAATAAACCGCCGTGAGCCTCGGTAACTCCATCATTGCAACATCACACCCCTGCATGTCGCGACCCCAATCGTTCTGTCATGGCCTTTTTTATACAGATCTAAAAGTCTCGAAACGGGATGGATGCCGCCGCATACTTAAGATAGGGCTGTACGCTTTCGCTAAATGTAGGTACAACACCGGGTGAGGGTTGATGCTGGATGGACAGGACCGAATACTCGGCCGTTTAGGAGTTGTCGTGTGGTGAGGCTAAAGATAGAGGAGAAAAGTTGCCACTGCGCAGTCTATGGTGCTTGCCCTTTATGGGGCAACAATGTCCGTCTTGAGGCTGCTACAAGGTAGCTAGCGGCCTTGCGGTGAGGCGTTTACTTGCGGAGTGTAGATCTAGGTTGAATCTCGGTTGAAAACATGGTCTTTACTTCATTTTATTCCCGCTATTTAACTTGAATCCCTAGCATCTAAGTAACCGATCTTTCAAATACAATCAGCAGCACAATCATCGCAAATCCCAATAATTGATTTCCTACAAACCCACCACCCACAACATGCATGTCCTCAGCTTCTATCTCACTGCTCTCTTAGCAGTTGGAGTCTCTGCATCTCCTACCCTGGAAAAACGCGCAATAACTTGTCTCACGGTCGGCTCCACGGCAACAGCAACATGGACTAACGCCGCCGGCCGGACATGTTGCTGGACTGGCATCGTAGGCAGCAACTTTGGCGTAAACAGCGTAAACGGTGGAGAGTACGCAGTCCACCCTCCCACATATCCATCTATGCAGTACCTGACATAATCCATAGGTACAGCTGTAATGGCCGCTGCGGAGCAGGCTGCTCAGGCTTCGCACTTGGCAACGCATATACACAAGATTGCTTTTCGCATGATGTGTGTTCGTGGTTTAACAATGCTAGTGGTGGTGCGAGGTAAGTTGTCCTAGGAGAAGAATTATGTGAGAGAGTTTCTTACTAATGTGGTGTCCAGTGATCCAAACTGTGGTGCTGCGTATAATGCGGCGGTTGATGATACGCTTGGTGGTGCGGCGGCGGGCTGTGGACGGACGAATCCGTCGAATCCTGCTGTGAGACCAAGCACGCAGCCGACGTGCTCGTAGGGGGTTAATAGAGAATATCGTGAAAGATCAAATGATAAACTGGATTTGGCCTAAACACCCGAGAATTTTCAGCTCGCTTCCTCCATCGTTCGCAGGTTGATCTTCTTGTTCTTTCGTCGTTTGTTCCCGTTGCTGCGATCGGTTTTCTGAATCCGACCCCCTGGGATTTACTCCTGCCTATGCAGATGTATTCTTCTTGGTTCAGTCAGTCGCTCAAGGCCATGTAGCAAAACAATACTCCTTTCAGGCTCGATACAAGCTTGGAAAGACAGCTAATATCGACTCTATACGCTGATCAAGTACTATATAGAGAAGAGATTTGAGCGTGCCAACATAAGATTTCTAGAGGGTAGTCCCAAGATTCTAGAAGGAAACATGCAGTTTTGTCACCTCGCTCGCTTCTACAAATCTTTTTGACGCTGTCTGGGTCTATGGGTTGTCGTAGGTGAAGTTCATAAGGGTCTATATACTCCTGTTAGCTTCCCGCTAATGAATTATAGCTCGTTCTTGTCTTATAACAGTGCAAGTTTGAGCCAATCGTTATGCATAATTGGCGAGTTGTAAATCATACATACATTTTTCTATAGGGCGTTGTGGCATTCTCATAACGTCAGATGATCTGTCGGAAGTCCAACCATGTCAAAATTTCACTTTCGCGACTGCATATTGGTTAGTCAGTATTTTAGAGAGGTGCTAAAGATATGGAGGTGATGAGCGGCTGAGGATAAGGTCGCACAACTGCTCAGCTGAAGATGCCTTGCAGCCTGATCGAGTGCGTGTCGCACTGCATGCTTATTACCACGACTATCATTACTAGAGTCATTGCTCCTTCCCGCATTTCTACAGCCACTGCAGCTTTTTTAATAGTACAGAAATCATATATTCGAGAGCATCGAGATACTCTCTAAACGTAACTCTACTCGAGTGCCCGTTAACAAAGCAACAGACGTTTTCAGCTAGAACTAGATGCGTTCTAGGATAAGTTCTTATTAGTAATGGACATGAGTATAGTGCTCTTATCATTGGACCCAAGACTGTTCTAATAGGCATAAGACACTTTTTCAGCTGTGCCAGTTCCAACATGTAGCTTATCGTTGATGCTTACAGTATATAGTGGCTTGCGCAGGTTAATGCCGACTGAAACCCAGCGTTAATTGAGATTGGCTGTGCGGCATGCATCTGCACGAGTCTCAGCTGAGGCATGCTGTTGCCTGTCAATTCCGAAAAAACTACTAAAGAAGTGACGGTACCCTCCACCCTAGGCCTTCGGCTGTCGCCAGCTCTTTCCATGAGCAATGCCGACGTCTTGGTGGCGAAAACGCTTCAGGCGCAAACCAAGGGTATAAATACATCCAATCTTCTCTACCCCACAATCTATCAGGCTGAGATTTGCAACAGGCAGAAACCACGACGAAGGACCCCTCGAGCGCAACCGAGCCTATCGTCAATCCGGTTACTGAGGAATGTCCCACAGGTCTAAACATCGTGGCCGAAGGCCAGAGCCCTGTCGTTGAGTAGGCAGTTCTAGAACTTCATTTTTGTGTAAACTCCAGCTAATAGCAGCTAGCATAGTTGCCGTGCACGGTCTAAACGGACATCGAGACAAGACGTGGACGGCTACAAATGGGGTGCAGTGGCTCCGTGACCTTCTTCCCAACGACATCCCGAATGCACGTGTCTTTTGCTGGGGATACAATGCAAATACTCATAGCAAGCACCTCAGCTGCCAATACCTGTATGATCATGCCAAGACACTAGTATCGGAACTGTGCTTGCAAAGAGCACTCACAGGAGTGAGTTCACACCAGAGACCGAGGCAATTGTCCTGTGCTAATTGTGGAAGACAACGAGACGGCCGATTATCTTCGTTGCGCACAGCCTTGGGGGCATAATCATTAAAAGTGTCAGTTTTCCCTCCTATACACACTCTCTGTACCAGCCCCACTACTAAATACCTACAAAGGAGATAGTAGATGGGAGTGGCCAGCTTTAACAAAAGAAGAGCTCGAATTCGCCTGCGTAAGCGTAAAAGCTACCTCGCTAGGACTAGATTTAATTAGCCAGGATATAGTCTAAAAAGTCTATCAGGCACAGCTAGAATTACTCTTTAAGATATATTCAGCTCTATTCAACTTTGGCTACCAACTAAAGTGCTAGAGAAAAGCTAAAGGAGTTATTCTAAAGAAACCTGGAAAGCCAGACTACTCTATCCCAAAGGCATATAGAGTAATCTCACTCTTAAGCTGCCTAGGGAAAGTACTAGAAAGACTATTTGCAAGACGATTAGGAGCACTAGCAGAAATAACAGACTTACTCCACCCTACCTAGTTAGGCGGGAGATTAAAGAAATTAGCAATTGACGCCGCTCTCCTATTCTATAATAATATACAGTAGCAGAAAAAGAAGTATAGGACTACTACAACTATATTTCTAGACATAAAAGGAGCCTTTGATCACGTAGCTAAAAACAAGCTACTAGAAAATATGAAGGATCAAGGACTTCCCTGCTGCCTGCTATCCTGGACTAAATCCTTCCTAGAAAACAGACTACTAGAGCTATCCTTTGATGGCCAAGTAGAAGATCTACAGGAGGTAAACACTGGTACGCCCCAAGG